TTTTTAAAAAAAGAGCTAAAATGAATAGAGAGAAAAACATCATTCATAAAATGATGGTTCATGGAGGGGATTATAATAACTGGAATGAAACAAAGTATATGATTTGTTTAATGTAAAACTGATGATCTGCCCTAAACTAAACTTTCACTCAAATCACAATTAAAAAAAAAAGTTCACTTTAAGGAAGGTGATTCCTGGCATGCTAACGTGATAAACTTCATGTGCCTGGGCCATGTTAGTCAATGAGACTACCGCAGCTAGGGTCAAGTTTAACATTCTGATTTCTGTTCCTTAAAGCAAAAGCAAAACAAAGCAAAACAACAGGTGTATATTCACGTACGTAAACAAAGAAAAACAAAGGAAACAGTGACTTAAGTTTTAAGAGACACTCTTAAGATATAAAATCAAATAAATTACACTGGTTTCTCAACCATTTGAATATTACTCCTGGGAATTTACAGTGCAGTGAGTGCAGGAGATAATGGTTACTCTGTATGGAGCAGCTAGCAGTGACAGCCAGCCAAGTGAAAAATGTCATTGAGAAGACCTCAAAGAGGTGAACATTTTTCAGCTTGGGCAATTTCAAAATCCAAAAGTAAGCATAACTTATATTTAGAAAGGTTAAAAAAATCAACATCAGAGCAAAGAGGACTTAACTTTCACAATAGAGAAATTAATAAGGATACAACAAAATGAGGGTCAGACTAAAGAGTCCCTAGATCCTCTTGTTATCTCAAACTCCTTGGAGTGGGAGTTAGAAAATGGATGTTAGGGGGAAAAGTACTGTAAGCAACTCTGCTACTTGTGTGCCATTGAGTTCATTCCACCTCACAGAGACCCTGTTTCGGAGGCTTTAAATCTTTGTGGGAGCAGAAAGCCTCATCTTCTCCTGAGAAGTGGCTAGTGGGCTTGTGGTTCAATGCTTATCCTTTGGAGTCACCGCCAACTATGCTACCTAAGCATGTCAATATTCGAAACCCCTTCCTCTGTAAGGTCTCCTCACAAATACACTCTTGGCTCCTAGTTCTAAATACTCAATAGTATGGCTAAACTTCGTCTCATACTTTGGACATATTGTCCGGAGGAAACAGTCGCTGGAGAAGGATGTCATGCTGGGTAAGGTGGAGGGTCAGAGAAAAAGAGGAAGACCCCTAACAAGATGGATTGGCCAGGTGGCATCATTGATGGACTCAAGTGTGGCAGCGGTAGTGAGGTTGGCTCAGGATTGGACATTGTTTCGTTCTGCTGTGCATGGGGTCGCTATGAGTCGGTTCTGACTGGATGGCACCTGACAACAACAACAACAACAACAACAACAACAACAACAACAACAATGGCAGTTCAAACTCTTGTTGTTTGCTGTAGACTCATAGTGACCTTGTATAGGGTTTCTGAGAGTGGCTGGTGGTTTTGAACTGCTGACCTTGTGGTTTCCAGTGCAAGGTTGATCCTACAGTGCCACACCAGGTGTCAGGCCTCTGGGCAGTGTCACAAGCAAAGGACGAAAGAGCTACAGATGACTAACTACTGAAGACCTGCACAACTGCAACATGGTGCTGCCAAGAAATCAATGGACCTGATTCGTCATGTTTCACAGATGAAGACACTGAGACCCAGACAGAGAAGTCCTGTGTTCAGTATGTATCAGAGGCTGGATCTTAACCCAGGTTCTCCTTCTACTCTACTACAACCTTCACATTGCACTGGAAAAAGAGTTTGGGGGAAAAGGGATTCCATGGCCCCCTCTCTCCAACAACCAAGACACTTCTTTTTTTAGGGACAGACAAAAGCAATGGTGTTTCTGGAGAGTCCCACCTCACACTGAATGGTATTTTTGTTGCTATTGTTAGGTGCTGTTGAGTGGCTCCAACTCATAGCGACCCAGTGCACAACTGAGTGACACGCTGCCCAGGCCTGCGTAATCCTCACAATTGTTATGCTTGAGCCCATTTCTCATCCCATTGAACCAATCCAGCTCATTGGGAGTCTTCCTGTTTTTCACTGATCCTCTACTTTACCAAGCATGATGTCCTTCTCCAGGGACTGGTCTCTCCTGATAACATGTCTGAAGTATGAGGGATAAAGTCTTCCTATCTTAACTGTGAAGGAGCATTCTGGTTGTACTATTTCCACCACAGATTTGTTATCTTCTGGCACTCCATGGTACTTTCAATCTTCTTCTTTAACACCATAACAAATGCATCAATTCTTGTATGGTCTTCCTTATTCATTGTCCAACTTATATTAAGTAGATATGACGTAACATTCTCAAAATAAATTCTGACATTTTAAATGGAAGTTTATGAAAACATCAGTAGAAAGGAATGAAATGTTCAGTCTTGTGAAGACAGCATGTACTTACAACTCGGGATAATTTGTCATGTGTATATGGTGGTAGTGGTTATGTGCCATGGAGTCAGTTCCGACTCATAGCGACCCTGTACAGGGTTTCCGAGGCTGTAAATCTTTATGGGAGCAGAAAGCCTCATCTTTTTCCTACGGAACAGCTGGCAGTTTCGAACTGCTGACCATAAGATTCACAGCCCGATTCGTAACTACTATGCTACCAGAGCTCCTTGTCATGTGTATATAGGTAAGTCAAAAAGTATTGCTACAAACCCCACAGAAACCTTATTAAACTAAAAATGTCAAAATATAAAGCTATACCCTCCATTTAGGTCTCTACTTTCTGAAGGTACTGTTTTCATCCTCAAATCTTTCACTAAAGAATTCTGCCATCTTTTATTCACACGTCAAAACAACAGTTTTTCACTAAACTAAGTCCTAAAAAATCCTCACGACTGGAGCAATAAATAACATCAGGATAAATGGAGAAAAGATTGAAGTTGTCCAAGACTTCAGTTTACTCTGTTTAATCACAACACTCATGGAAGCAGCAGTCAAGAAATCAAACAACTTATTGCATTAGGCAAATCCGCTGTACACAAGAACTCTTTAAAGTGTTCAGGAGCAAAGACATCAGTTTGCCATGGTAGTTTCAATAACCTCATATGCATGTGAAAGTTGGACACTGAATAAAGAAGACCACAGGGACAATGAAGCATTGGATTTATGGTTTCAGCATCAACGACTAATCCACAGAATAGCCACCACGTAGAAGTTAGGCTTTCCCCTTCACTGCAGCTGCAGTCCTCCAAGGAAGGAGTGATGAGCAGAAGAGGCAAAGTGATGGGGTGGGACGTGGGCACAAGGTTAAAGGAATTCCCTTTCCTGGCCAGCCTCGCCACCCTGCCCTTTCCACCCTGATTCTGAATGGTGAGAACACAGTCTCTGTAGCACACACTTACTTCACAGCAGCATCTTTCCTCAACTGTTCATGCTTCATGAGGAGATTTTTCCGGTCTCGGAAAGCTTTTCTGACCTTGTACCCTTTGTAGACAGCCTGGATTTTGAAGGCAGCAATGTCTTGGATAGCTGCGATGGACAGGGCCCCGTGTTCCAACATGAACTGGATCACTTCATGACGCTCACCAAGCAAAGCATAGTCCAGGGGTGTGTATCTGAAACAGGAAGACATACACGAAAATGCTTTTTAAAGTATTGGCCTAGAGTTCAAGGCTTGAAACATTATGCAACAAAATAAACCTTATTCTAAAATGTGTTATACTCCCCAGGAAAAACCACCTTTGTACTTCAAGGCTGTCATTTGGCTCTTTAGAAACTCTTAGTGGTAAAAGACAAAGGTGAATATGGCTGGGGGTCAGTGGGCACACATGATCTACTTTCCTTCTTCCTCATATGCCAAATAAATTCTGCTCCTGTCTGAAAGACTGTGCAAATAATATTCTCTAAGCTTCATAATCTTGAACCCATGGTTACTAATAATAAATGCATATGAAATAGAAAATATATCTCCAAATGGAGAAATTTAGTTTATGATAAGGTTGGCATTTTAAATCTCTGCAGAAAGCATGTATTATTAATTAAATAGTTTTAAGACAACTAGTTAGTCATTTTCCAAGGACTCGTCCAAAATACATGAGATGAGTTGTTCTGCTTGGGTAACCACCTCGTGGTCTACGTATAGGTTCCTCATGAACACAATTAAATGCCTTGGAATACCCACTCTTCTCATAACTTGTCATGATACACACAGTAAATGTCTTTCTGGTATTCTCTACTTTCAGCCAAGATTCATCTGATGTCAGGTAATGATATCTACAGGTCTAGGTCCTAGTCTAATCTGGCTTGAATTTCTGGCAGGTTTCTGTTGATGTACTGTTGTAGTAGTTTTTGAATTATCTTTAGCAAAATTTTACTTGTATGTGATATTAATGATATTATTTGATAATTTCTGCATTCCCCTGGGTCACCTCCCTTTGGAATGGGCACAGATATAGATCTCTTCCAATTAGTGGGCTAGGTAGCTGTTTTCCAAATTCCTTGGCATAAATGAGTGAGTGCCTCTAGTACTGCATCAGTATATTGCAATATTGCAATTTGTATTCCTTCAATTCCTGGAGCCTTGTTTTTTTTTGCCAATGTCTTCAGTGCAGCTTGGACTTCTTATTTCATTGGTTCTTGATCAAAACTACCTCATGAAATGGTTGAACATCGACCTTTCTTTTTGTTACAGTGACTCTGTGTATTCCTTCCATATTTTTCTGATGCTTTCTGTAGCATTCAATATTTTGCCCATTGTTGTTGTTAAGTGCCATTTAAGTCAGTACTGACTCATAGCAACCCTTTATGGGATTTCTGAGGAGCAGCTGGTGGGTTTGAACTGATGACCTATGGTTCGCAATCCAGTGCAGATTCACAGCCACACCATAAGTCTTTTATTTATTTGTTTTTCACCCCCATTGTTGTTGTGAGATGCCATCGAGTCAGTACCTTATGCACAGCAGAATGAAACACTGCCCTATCCTGGGCCAACCTCACTATTGTTGCCACTCAAGCCCATTGATGCTGCCACTTGGCCAATCCATCTTGCTGGGTATCTTCCTCTTTTTCTCTGATTCTCCACCTTAACAAACATGATGTCATTCTCCAGAGACTGGTCCCTCCTGACAATATGTTCCAAGTATGAGAGATGAAGTTTGGCTATCCTGGCCTCCAAGGAGCACTCTGGCTGCACTTCTTACAACACAGATCTGTTTGTTCTTTTGGCAGCCCATAGCACTTTTTTTTTCCATCTTAAAAACAAGTGACATTTTAATATTGTCTTTAAATCAATAAGTACAGTATATTTATTTAGGTCTACAAATTTTGTTTTACAATTTTTATAGAGAAGTTGCATTTTGTTAAATTGATTCTTAAGTATTTTATTCTTTTGATGTTATTGTAAATTGGATTTGTTTTTGGTAATTAGAATTATTTAAAATTTAATTTTCCAATTATTTGCTGCAAGTATATATATTTAAAAAAAACAAAAACACAACCCTGAAATTTGTTTATTAACCCAGACTCCTGGTGTGGCGTTGTAGGATCAGTACTACACTGTGAACCACAAGGTCAGCAGTTCAAACCCACCAGCTGCTCCTCAGAAACTGACTCGATGGCACTTAACAACAAAAACAACCTGGCATTGTGCTGAATTCATTTATTAGTTGCAAGAGTAAGTTCATAGATACTTTTTAAGCATTTTTATGTAAACAATCATGCCATCTGCAAGCAGAGGCAACTTTTCTTCTTCTATACCATGCCTTTTAGTTCTTCATCTTGACCTATTGCACTTACCAAGTTGTTGTTGTTGTTAGGTGTCATAGAGTTGGTACTGACTCATAGCGACCTTATGTACAGCAAAACAAAACACTACCCAATCCTGGGCCAACTTCACTATTGTTGCCACGCTTGAGCCCACTGCCACTGCCACTTTGCCAATCCATCTCGCTGGTGGTCTTCCTCTTTTGATGCTCCATCCTACCAAACATGAAATACAGCTGTTTTTCTTCATTTTGAGTTGTGCCCCATCAGCAAATGAAGGTCCCATGGGCTTTTCTCCCATGGGCTTTACTCCATTTGCATAATCATGGTCAACTCTACTCTGAGGAGGCAGCTCTTCCCCAGTTGCATTTTGAGTGCCTTCCAACCTGAGGGGCTCATTTTCCGGCACTATATCTGACAGTGTTTCTCTACTATTCATAAGGTTTTCAGTGTCCCATAGCACTTTTAATATCCTTCTCCAACACCATAACTCAAAAGCATCAATTCTTCTACGGTCTTCCTTATTCACTGTCCAGCTTTTGTATGCATATGAGGTTATTGAAAATACCATGACTTGGGTCAGGTGCACCTTAGTCCTCAAGATGGCATCTTTACTCTTCAACACTTTAAAAAGGTCTTGTGCAGCAGATTTGCCTCATGCAATACATCGTTTGATATCTTGACTGCTGCTTCCATGAGTGTTGATAGTTGATCCAAGAAGAATGAAGTCCTTGACAACTTCAATCTTCTCCATTGATAAGAATGTTGTTTATTGGTCCAGTGGTGAGGATTTTTGTTTTCTTTACATTGAGATATAATCCATACTGAAGTCTGTGCTCTTTCATCTTCATCAGTAAATATTTTAAGTCCTCTTCACTTTCAGCAAGCAAGGTTGTATCATCTGCATAACACAGGTTGTTAATGAGTCTTCCTCCATTCCTAAAACCGTGTTTTTCTTCATATAACCCGGCTTCTCGGATAGAACCCTTCAATGCTGAAATTCGAGGTTTGAATTTTTTTCTTCAGTCCTTTCAACTAGAGAAATGCTGAGTGTGTTTTTCCCTTTTGGCTTTGTGGCTTTCTTACTCTAGGCCTTTACACATTTCATTATAACATCTGATGTTGTCTTCTCGAGCTTTCCTCCAAATTTTCTGTTCAGCTCTTTGACTTCCTCCTTTCTTCCATTCTCTTTAGCATGTCTACATTGGAGAGCAAATTTCAGAGTCTCTTCTGACATCCATTTGGTCCTTTTCTTTCTTTCCTGTCTTTTTAATGACCTTTGCTTTCTTCCTGTATGACGTTCTTCATGTCATCCCACAGCTCTTCTGGTCTTCCGTCAGTAGTGTCTAATGTATCAGATCTGTTCTTGAGATGGACTCTAATTTCAGGTGAGATATGTTCAAGGCTATATTTTGACTTGTGGGGTTGTTTTAATTTTCTTCAGTTTCAGCCTAAACTTGCATATGAACAATTGATGATCTGTTCCACAGCTGGCCCCTGACCTTGTTTTGGCTGATGATACTGAGTTTTTCCACTTTTGCTTCCCACAGATGTAGTCAGTTAGATTCCTGTGTATTCGTGTGTATACTCACCTTTTATGTTGTTTTAAAAAGTTATTTGTAATGAATAAATCACTCATCTTGCAAAATTCTATGATGCAACCTCTAGCATCATTTCTATAACCAAGACCAAATTTTCAAGTTACTGATCCTTTGTTTCCAATATTCCCATTCCAATCACCAGTACTTATCAATACATTTTGATTGCATGTTTGATCAATTTCAGACTAAAGAAGTTGGCAGAATTTTTCAATTTCATCGTCACTGGTGCGTAAATTTGAACAACAGTAGTAAGACTTTGTCTTCCTAGTAAGTGTGTGATACTATCCTATCACAGACATCATTGTACTTCAAGATAGATCTTGAAATGTTCTTTCTGACCATGAAGGTGACACCACTTCTCTTCAGTTTTTTGATCCTGGTGATTGTTTGACTCAAAATGGATAATACCAGTCCATTGCAGCTTGGATAATATTGCCTAGGATATTCATCTTTACGCACTCCATTTCATTTTTGACAACTTCCTAATTTCTTAGATTCATACTTTGTACATTCCACACTCTGATTATTAATGAATGTTTGCAGATGTTTCTGCTTGTTTTAAGTTGTGTCCCTTCATTAAATGAAGGTCCTAAAAGCTTTACTCCATTCATGTAATCATGTTCAACTGCAATTTGAGGGGCAGCTTTCCCCCTGTTGTATTTTGAGTGTCTTCCAACCTGAGGGGTTTATCTTCCAGCACAATATCTGATAATATTCTTCTGATAATAGTCGTCTTGTCATGTTTCATCTTCCGGCATTATAGCTGACAATGTTATACTGCTGTCCAGAAGATTTTCAGTGACGAAACATTCAGAACTACTCTGTCTTTCCTTCTTCTAGTCTGTCTTTGTCAAAGTTCCACTGAAAACCTGTCCAACATGGATGACCTGTTGGTATTTAAAATTCTGGTGGCATAGCTTCCAGCATCACAGCAACATGCAAGCCACCACAGTATGACAAGCTGTGAGATGAATTAATCACTCTTAATAATATGGCATTGGTGTGGCACTATAGGATAAGCACTGGACTGCTAACCAAAAGGTCAGCACTTCAAACTCACTAGCCACTCCTCGGAAGCCTTATATAGGGTTGCTCTGAATCGGAACCAACTCGATGGTACTTAATAACAACATTATAATAGCAGATATTCTTTCATTTTCTCAAGAAAAATTATTGGTTTGTAAAAATGATACAGGTTTAAATAATTCAATCAATGCATAAAAGTACAAAAATGGAAGTAAAAACCCCTCAGA